GAAGACGCTATACTCCAACCACCAATCGCCCCGTTAACCTAGCGTTCCAACATCCTGTCCCTTAACAAGACTTGAATATCGAACACCGTCGAACTCAACAACGGTCCCAGCATCTAACCATAAGCGGCAAGAAAAGATATTTTAATCGTTATTATTATCAGTTAATTATGGGGAACAACCTTTCAGCACGCACAAGGGAGATCCTGGTGATCTCTTTGATTTGCTTCGAAATGCAACCTATATTGATTTATTTATGCCCAAGTAGACGCGCTAACAATACATATAATCAAAGTCTTGGTGGGAAGACAACATGCGCTCCCTAAATATTTTTCGGCATCAGTTTTTCATGTTGTCGTTATTTGTTTTATTCTTATCGCGCCACCCGCTAAATGAGTTGGTTTCTTTTTCCAAGACATGCGGCGCTTTCTGGAGAATATGTCAATGAATGAGTAGTAAAAAATAGGTAGTGCCCAACTACTCTCTTCGTAGACTTCGGCATTGTTGTTACTTTTGTTTAATTCTTCTGTGCGCACGTGGTTGGTAGGTGGAACTTTTATTATGGCCTGATGTAGTCGAAACGTCAGGCCATAATAAAAGTTCCATCTACCAACCTCGTGTGCACAGAAGAATTAAACAAACGTAGTAAAAAATGAATAATTTTTGTGAGCAAATCATAGTTTCTGCATTACAGGGAAATATGAAGTGTCTACAGGAGCCGATTCATCTGTGTGTATCAGCCATGGCAAGGCTGTGGTCGAGGTCTGTATTTTTTCCCAATGAGTTCGGTTCTGCTCGGGTGGATGGTGCGTTGAAGCCGTGTCACTCCTGGTGGGATGAAAGATATCCCACTATTGGTTTGAAATCAGTGTTGTAGGATCGATACCTCACACCCATCCATTGTAATCGAAATTTCGTTTTTTCCCCAGTTCTTTGTTGCCATCGTTTTTCGTGATGCTGTGAGCTTAGTCCACCTTTACTCACGCAGCTTCAAGGCTCGTGAAAGATGGGCTTCCAACCATTTGGCTGCTTAACACGTTCCGGACCACGTGACATACGTGGTGTGTCACAAAATTTTGTCTTTGCGGCGATTCATCAGAACAAGTTTCCGGACACAGAATTTACATATAGTAGCTTAAAAGTGAAACAAAAGGAAATTTCTTATTATCGATGTGAAAAATGATGAGATTATGCGAAGAACCCTGCAAAACGCGGTTTGCCATGTTTTATACCCTTGGAGTGAGTTATTTCTAAAAGGATGTAGAAGAAACCTCTCAATAAAGTCACGGATCTTTGTCTTAAGTGGACCTACTAGCGAATTTCACATTTTTTTTGTATATTCAGCAAAATTGTTTTGTGTTCAGGTAACAAATGCTCCCGTTGTCGTGAAGCCGGATTTAAGCATAGCCGGCTACCATTTCACAGCTACTGTAACGAACAAGGAAAAGCCTCTACCGGATGTTCGCCTTACCTTGTATTCAGAGGTTAAGCCAGAAGTAAGTTCTTTTCTTTTTTTGTCCATTGAAATTTCTTTCCTGAGTTCCAGAAGTTATTTATCGTCGTGAATTTCCCTGAAAGGCCTTTGCGATCATAATCTGAACTTAGCGATCGAGAGAATAAAAAGCGGAAATTGTGACTGGATTTTTGTTGTTTCTTTCTTTGAAGGGGGAGGGCATTCGAAAGACTTGTTTTGTAAAGCTATGATTTGCGTGACGCGAAATCTTCTTTATAATTGTAGAATTTGGTTCGCCCAGACTTGACTCTACGCTTTGGTGATGTTACTCATTTCCTTTACGTAGCACCAGTACTGCCAGAGGGATCCCCCAAATGTCTCCCATTCAAGGCGCACATCGCCGGATTATCGATTCATAGGTGCTATTGATATTATTACTGCCCTCATCGTCGCCAAACTGGGCGCTGCTTTGCGTCCCGCTGCGACGAATTATACGTTTCGTGTGCTCAAGTGGCTCTAAACTAGTTAGCGCCAAAAGCTGATTACCCGTCTGCCACATGGTCTGCTCAGTGGCAATAGTTTCTGTGAATAAAAGATCGCAGGGGCTTTCCGACTGGAATGAAGGGTTACAGCAACAGGGCCAAGATGGTGCTATGGCCAGAGGAAGCGCTCGCCATGGTTGCGCACTGAGGTCAAACAGGATCGGTTCCCACCAAAATCACCTGGTTTTCCGTCGCCCCAGCGTACCTAAATTGGTGCCAGCTCCATCTGGGTGTAGAAAAGAGAGAGAAATGAAAGTAGAAAAACACATCGATTACCTGAGTCTTTTTTCTTATTATAACGAAATTAACAGTGAGTTTTCTGTGGAGCTTTAGGGAAGGCTTTCTGGGGTTATCGCTGCAACTTTTTCTTTTCGAAGAATCCTGTTATTAATGCAATGGCAAATGTTCTTTTGCAAGTATCAATGTTTTCGGCAGTACTATGAGGGACAGGGAAGAGGCATTTAGTGAAAACGAACTGCTCGCCCTCTTCATCTGCGTTTTACTACGAATGAACCAGTTGGAGTGGGGGAAGCGAGGGTAAGGTCGATTTGGTGACAGCGTGCAGATGACTTGGAAAAACTGAGCACCCGCATGGCCTGTTCAGTTCCTTTCACACACCGATTTCAGCTATTTGATGTCACGATTCTGTAGCGGTTTCGAATAGTTGATCCTCAACTTAATGTTATTACCCGTCACCTGAAGCAGCATTTCTCCATTATAGCTCACTGACTGCAAAGCTATTTCTTCACCGGTGAAAGGTGCCGAATCTGCCAAGTTCTCGTGTCCGATCGGTGCGACGTCAGCTGAAGGTCGTGTTGTGGTACCATGTTTGCCATCAGGAACATATTTCATCACGGCTGAGTACAAAAATGGCGATACGGAGTTCCAGTTCAAACCTTCAGTGCAAAAGCTAGTTGTGAAGGACCGCGCCACCACGGTGGGTTGAACAATGTTCTGCTGGATATATTACTATTACATAACGCTATGGAAGTAATACACCTTTTTAATGATCTTACGTGGCTATTGTGTGGTTCAGATTTCGTTCTCCGTCAGTGGATTTACAGCACGTGGACGAGTTGTTGTTGGCAATAAAGGAATATCTGGGGCAGAAGTGATTGTACAGGGCAATAAGAATAACTGAAACTGATGCCAATGGCTACTATACGCTCCAAGCGCTCACGGTGGGTGCCCAGGCGCGCTACGCTAAAGTGCATCTTTTGAATTTCGGTATAAGGAGACCTAAGAGAAACCTTGTGTCATCTCCGTGCCATTAATTTTTGTGACTGTAACTAGTTTAGATCGAAAGTTCAGCTAGACTGCATTAAGTTTTCAGTGACCTAAATATGTTTAGGAAGGTCCAGTTGAGGTCACAGCACGTGCACCTCACGCCAAATTCAGCACAGTGAAGAGCACCTTGACTCTTCCAAATGTCAGTATTCGAGATGTGGTCGTAGAAGGGTGGGTATTGTAATATTGTAATGTTTTTGATTATCCGTCGGCTCCGTGCGCTTTCAACCATTTTTTGTGCTGACTCATTCGGTACACTAAAATTACGAAATCATGTTGTAAGAGATATTGTGGTCGATCTCTGTCCTATGATCCCTCTGTACCAAATGATGAGGGTGCATTGAGCTTATGTGGGTGCTCTACCTCGAAATTTCATAAAGAGGGAACGCAGACCCAGACACGCGTGGTTTTCCTCGTCTAGGGGATAGAACTTTATAGGGATTTTCGAAATTACTTTGTTCATGGTTTCCTAGGCTACTGTTTCTTTCGACCCTGTCTACCGAATGCACCGAATGCCTACTGCTGCATGAGGGAAACCAAGCAATGCGTTCCAGACAACCGTATCTGTCGCTATCGCTGCAAGAAGCGCGCTGTCGCGACGCGATGCTAGTCCTTCCATTGACCCTGACGCCGCACTAAACCCAGCCCCCTTGAAATGCCCCAGCATCCGCAGCGAATGAACACTGTATTTTTATAGTTTCCTGTCAGCCTATGTGGTTTGGGAAAAGTTTAAAGCTGGGCGCGCCACTAATGCCACGACGAAACAGTGTGCGTCTCAGTTTGACTTGCACAGAAGCAATTTTCCGAATCCCACTTTTAATTAACTCCAGACCTGAATGTGAAACATATAAAAGAGGCGCCAAAAATTCTCATTGCAAAAAACTCAAAAGAATCTAGAAGTTTTTGCAAAAAGTTTATAGTTTATGTTTTTTCCTTCGAATATTTATGTTTCTTCCTTCGAATATTTCGGTGCCTAGCACCTTCTTCAGCGATCTGGTCTGCTACCTCCAATATCCGCCAATAGGCCGCCGCTTGCAGGCAGCAGACCAGATTGCTGAAGGAAGGTGCTAGGCACCGAAATATTCGAAGGAAGTATTATAAACAAAAATTTTTGCAAGAACTTTTGGATTCTTTTGAATCTTTTGAGTTTTTGCAATAAATTTTTGGCGCCTCTTTTATGTGTGTTCAACATTCAGATTGCAATGAGGCTCCGGGACAGCACAATTTTAACTCCATACCAGTTGTTTCGTAGTTGGGAATCAGATCAATACACGCTGTAAGTTCAGATTTGATGTTTGTGGAAGCGTTGAAAAGATGGCCAGTGAGGCAATCGCAACGCCTCTCGTGCTGAAGCGTGTCGATAATGCAGATACCGTCTCGATTCGACCAGCTGCCGATGGAAAATTTTGCAAAATGGTTCCACCGGCAAAGTATACGATTTCGGTGCGAGTTATGGTTATTAGTGCTCTTACTTGCTCAAAACTTCCAAATAAAGTTTCTTCGTTGAAGCCAGCTGACGCCGCTTCGACATTGACGCCACGATCACTGGATATCGACCTAACTGCATCATCTGTGCGCGATTTACGCTTTACGCACTTCAAGACGGACGCCGTGGTGCTTGTCACTTGTATAGGTAAGTAATGATTTTTGTAAGTGTTCCTTTTTCATGTATGACTTTTCTGGGGTTCTCCCTTCATATGTCCGAATGGACAAATAATTTTTGTTGCGGAAAACAGGCTTTCTGGAGGATTGATTGAAAATGTTTTCAATCTCTTTGGAAGTAACCTATGGGAATAAGCACCAAGGTATCCAGTGTGTAATTACATACAATCTTGTTCTCTGCGGATAAAGGGGCGTGTTAGGCGGGGTTTGCTTGGCGCGGCACCAAACCCATTTTCCACCAGTCATTGAAGCAAGCAAGTGACAAGCTGTACCATATCGTTCGTATCAGTCATTTGGAAGAAGATACTGTCACTAACCCGCCTCATCACCGAACAGAGAACGGGTTTGGCGCCACGCAGACGCACCGGTCATGCCCCCTCATTCGCAGCGAATCGGACCATATTTATTATATGGTACCCAAAAAGTCAGGAAATGCAGCGTGGCGACGAAACTGATCCTGCTCGTCTCACCAGAGGACAGTGGTCGCCATCCTTCAGCTGGTTCAAAAAGGCATTTCTGCATTAGGGCAACCCCTCCCGCGAGCGGTGGATGCGTTCTAGGCGCCAATTGTTGTTCTGGAGCAAAATGTTTGTTTTCAATTGTCTCTTCCTTTCTGTTTTTTTTTTGCTTTCTTTTTCTCAGGTGTTTTTTCTGTTTCGTATGCCCCCGCTCCGCTCAACGGCAGATTTTTGTTAAAAGAAAACGGATTTTTTTTGAAAACTACGGAAAATGAACGAAAGTTCGGGAAAATGGGGAGGCAGGGATGTTCCTACGAGAGAAGGATGTTCACGGATGGGCCGCATTTTGACAATTTTCCCTAGTGACGGAGGTGCCCTGCTTACGGCCGCGCTTAGTGTCGACCCTCTCCGCTGAAGTGCTCTGCAGTCACCACCCAATACCCTACTCCCTGACTACTCAACATCCTACTCCCTGATTGACTTAATACCTGATTGTATAGGTGGTTCCTGAGCTTCATATGTATTGACCGTTTGGTTTTAATGTATAGAAATGAGACAGCTCTTCCTTTCTGTTCCGAAAAATATTTTCTATTGACGACGTTCGGCCTAAGCCCTCTTCAGGTCAGAATTAACTACGAGTAAATAAGGTCTTAACAGCACAAACCGTAAAACAGTCATCATAGAAAGAGCAGCAACCTACAGCGAGTTGTCCGGAAGGGGGAGGTGGAACTGCCTAGACTTCTTAAGCGGATATAGGCAGAAATAGGAAAGGCAGAGTTCTGGTATATATACAGATGTAGGACCAAGGATGATCTGGGAATTGTCACGCATTCCTTCGTAATGCACGTCCTACACTGATATCAGAGTCATTGCCACTCTCATCTCTTCCTTCATGTTGATCGGTGGGTTTAGCTGCTTAATTTCCAACGCTTCTCTTCTTTCGACGGGATCCAATCAGCATTTCTGTGTAAAATGGGACCCGAATGCGGGCGTCTCTTCTGAGTATGCCGCAGTTTACGATGTCTGGAGAATGGATTATCAGCGTAGTTCTGTGGACTACGCAGAGCTCTTATGTGTTCCTCCATTCTCTTGTGTAGTGGCCTTGATGTTTCTCCGATGTAAAATGTTGTGTGTGTTGATGTGTACCTGTTAATATCTGATTGTTTACCATTCGCTTAAGGGAAGCAGTACAGAAGTATGAAAGCCTAGCAAATTCACTGTGGATATCAGTGTTCCGTTCTTTTACAAAGCTGGCAGTAATTGGACGTGCTTGCAGGGACGTGCGAAACCTTGTCGATATCGTTGTTGCATGGAGGGAATGTTATCAACACAGTTCGTGGCAAGGATGAATTTATCTTCAAGAGTATCGGCCCTGGAAATTATAGAGGTTTGCTTCGCTTCTGAAGTCTGTCTTACTAGCTTGCACATGAAACTGTTCAGTTCGAATCGACGAAGGGGACCGAGGTTGCTGGGAACAACGTGAGCTCCCGTTGGTCATTGAAAAAGTTCGCCCTCAACCAGTGCATTTCGTACAGAGTGGCTTTGCAAGCAGTATCAAGCTCAGCCATCCAGCGCAACTGGTCAGTTTTACTTGTTCATCAAAGAGGTCGTTGGGGATTGTGAGGAGGACAAAGCAGAGATGATAATGGCGCGCTACTACTTTTCCTGCCTTCTATAGTGATGAAGAAGGCAGGACGAGGAATGGCGCGTCAATGGCGCTCCCTGTCCTCACAAATCCTGAAATCTCGAGTGCTATGTTAACAGAAAACGATTAGCTGCCGCGTAAACTTTGGTAAAGCACCTTAGCCAATGTTTCAATCTCTGCTTTCAAAGTTGAAATTATTTCAGAAATGGTCTCATATCGATAAGAAACAACTTCGTGGAGATGTTAACGCGCCTGCTGGTTTGTCATCAATTTGTGTGCCAGTGCAAGGTCGATATCATGTGCAACTGATTTCCTGCATGAATTTTGAACCACAGCAGTTTGATATAAATGGTGAGCTTGTTTTCTTGTTTTATTGCCTGCTTAGTAATCGGTTTCTAAACTCCCAAACGTTCGCGGCGTGGCCTTTCTGCTCAACTGTTGATCACTTTCGAGCGAGTGTCACTACTTTTGCTCGACTGGCCAACTGCAGTGCTAGCTGGCGCCCGCGTCTGGCACCAAGCCTGAGCGCCAACTTCCTCTATTGAACTTGAAAATAAAAGGACGGGGTTAAGCGCACTGCAATGCCTACAAGGTTTATGAAGGGTCATGTACAGTGGGAAATTTGATGGAAACGCATGCTTATAGGTATAATGCTCTCATGAGTCAATTTGGTCTTTCCTTCTCGATGCTTGCCCAAGCATGTAGGTTTCAAGGGTTGTATAGGCCAGTGGGTGTCGTATCAGAGCTCCAAACCATTGACACCACCTAGGACAACCGTTCATCGCCTTTGTTTTATTTCATCCATTCCAAACCTAAAACATGTCATCACAGCTGCAGGCAGACGGTTGGAACGCACATTGCGCGATTACCTGATTGATGGAATTCTATCCTTGTCCAGTAGTGCGTTCCGCCATCTCGGTGGTTGTCCCGCTCTTGCGGCTCGACAGTAAGTGCTAAGAACGCTAGAAGCATCTTGAACCGAAGGTACGCTACCCTCTGAGAATGCCCACCCAGAGTTATGTCACTGGTTCTAGTAGAGTGTCCCATGGGTCCGCGCCGAAATTTGACTTCTTGTTCGAATAAAAATTTAGGCACTATTTACCCTTTACTGCCCTGCCCCAGCCATCCGAAATCAGGCCAGTTCCTGACCGACTTTTTTCTCCGTGGGCAGAATTTGCTGAAAACTTGGCTCCAGGGGTAGTTGACCCCTGAACACGAATATCGCATCCGCTAGGCTCGAAACCTCCTGGCGCTCGCGCCACGCGCCGGCGCCAAAACCTACTCGAAATCGCCAAGTTCGCTGAAAACTTGTCAACTGGGGTAACTTGACCTCGTGAACACGAATATCACATTTATCTTGCATAAGAAATAGTATTCGCCCTTATTTGTAGCCCTAAAGAGGGCCGTTGGGTTAGTATAATATTACAATTCTTGGATTTGCGTCAGAAGGCATCCTAAAAGCACGGATATAAGTGTGCGTATATCGTTCGAAGAAGGTTGAATATGATTTCACTGGGTCGAGCGGATGTTATATTCGTGTTCAGGGGTGAAACTACCTCCGGAAGCAAGTTTTCAGCGAATTTGGTGATTTCGAGTATTTTGGCGCCGGCGCCCGTGGCACGGACGCCAGGAGGTTCCGTGTGAAGCGGATGCGATATTCGTGGCCAAACTACCCCAGGAGCCAGTTTTCAGGCAAATGCTGCTCAGGGAGAAAAAAGTTCGAAGTCAGAAACTGGCCTGATTTCGGATGACTGGGGTAGTAAAAGGCAAATAGTGCCAAAATTTAGGCTCAGTTAACAAATATCAGCCAACAACATATTCATTGTTGAACATGAGAAATCATTTCTTTTTAATATGTATAAGCTTCCTTACTTTTCCGTTTAGTTGCATCTGATCACGTTTACGAATCGAAAGCACTCGATGCAAAGATCAGTGGTGTTATAAAGAGCACGGATGGAAGCGGATTCATTGTGAAAGTGAAGTAAGTGCAGTTGTCTGGCGCTGTGTTGTCGACGGGGATATTTGGGCTACCATTGCTTCCCTAGTTCCGGTTTACAAATTTCACCCTGGTAAAACTTGCGAACCCTTGTGAAGCTGGTGCAAGATCGTCTAGCCATCCTAAAACGTGTCAACTCGAGAAAAGGCTACCTTGATGGGTCGGCACATCTACGGAAAGAAGAATGCCCTCCCCGTCGACAAACTGCGCCCAGTTGTCTTGTTCTTTCCATTCTGTCACTAGTGGGTTGTGGCGGTTCTCTAGATGAGCAAGGGCTAAAGGAATCGCTATCTCAAGCGTGGTTCGCTAGTTGCATCCTGCGTTGTGTCCAGCCCTGATGGATTACCAGTCGGCTCGCCGGCTAACGCCTGCGCGCCTCCTTCTGATACGGCCCGGCTGCGCCGGGCGGGCGCGGCTTCGCCGCGCGTATTTTCTTTCACATATTTCTAGACTCAACTGATATCCGCCTTTTGTTCTGTACTCCACTTTCGGGTGTCTGAAATACCCTTGAGCTGTTTTACAGACTCTTCGTCTGACTCCGCCCACCTCGGAGCAGGCCCGCCTCCAATTTTTGTGTCCCCAATCCTCACCGGCGACCCTCTCTTGCTGACCCTTAACTCTCACCGTTTTTTCCGGTCTTTGAAGCTGCTCTGCGTTACAGTTTTAGAGAATTTTCTCTTCAGCGGCGACCCCTTGCTGACTCTGAATTTATTCCGTTTTTACAGACCTTTTTGTCTGGCTCCGCCCACCTCGGAGCAGGCTCCGCCCACAATTTTTTGCCCCACAATCTTACCGGACGACCCTCTGCTGACCTTAGTCCACTTTTTTCCGGTGTCTGGAGTGTTCTGGAACCGAGCTACAAACTTTTAAAATGAATACCCTGCGATTTAGGGCAAGCTCCGCCCACTGTGGGCGGGTCTCAACACACTTTGAGCGTGCCCTATATTCGCCAGATATTTACATTCTACACTGAGTTTTTTGCGACTCCAAACACTCTCGCGGAACCGGGTTACTGAATTTTGCGAGAAGCACCGCCCACCTTGAGTACGCCCGCCCATTTTGGATGTGTCTGCCACAGTTAGTCTGGCGACTCCTTACTAACCTTATATTCCCTTTCTCTTTAAGCTGTCCTCCGGTCGACAGCGAATTATGATTCATTTTTCTGACGAACCCCAACTTCCTTCGGCGTTGAGTGCCCCGCCCACTGTGGGCGGGGCTTCCCATAGGTCAAGTGTGCTTTTTATTTCTTGTCCCATGCCCTACCCATCCCCACCTTGACCCGACCTCTCCAAGTCGTTCTTCAGGTCGAACCGAATTTCCGGACAGACAAACTTACAAACAAACTAAACAAACAGCAACCGAACTCATATATATGGGTGTGACTGTTTTACGTCCTTTCGGGTCATGTTATTGATAACTGGATGTTTCTGGAAAGGTAAAGGTGATGGCTCGAACATCAGAAGCTTGCAAAAGTCGTTGTACAAGACTATCACCCACTGCGCTTTCTGAGTTAAAGAAGAATGCGTGGCGTATCGAGAAAAGAGCTAGCCCACGCCCAGCTTCAGTTTTTTTCTCTGCCAGCTGCATTTTGATCTTATCATCGGAATAGCCTGTCGCTTTTGAAATTGAGGACTTACTCAGACCACATAATTTTTTTTCCTATCTCAGGTCTGGAGCTGGTGAGCGTGATATATCTGTTGCCTCGAATGGTGCCTTTTCGTTCCATGAGCCGTTGACCTCAAGTGGAGACGTAATTATCACACCTCACTCTGGCACCCATCTGTTTGACCTTCAAGTTTCTCGCTGAGATTCAGGTTTGTGTTATATGCCTTCGAATGTGGCATACCTTTGACCCTCACTGTGCTCGGAATTACACCTTCCTGGTCTTACTTTGGTATTTTGAAGGGGAGATTGTGCCGAAAATGTGGTGCAGTTCGTTGCTACTAAAGGAATATTTATCGATGGATCGATTATTCCGGCTGTGGCTGGTGTGAAGGTTAGTTTTCGTGCTGTATACTTCTGGTAACCATGATGAAAAATGCAGTGAACTTGCGAGTTTACTGTTTTTATCCCATTTTATGATGAGCTAGTGCTTCGAAACTTTAGAACTGTACCCATTGATTAGTTTGCATCATTAGCGCCTTTTCCAGTATTTTTGTTCAGTTATTGTAGAAGTATCTAAATGCTGTACCATTTGAATAGGCCCAGAGCTTGGAGCAGTGAGAGCTATGGAGGGAACACGCGATGCCGCGGCTATGCCGCTCCATCTTCCTGACATATCACTGTTTTGTCATGTTTTCTTGATGTCTTGGGGTGAATACACTGCACTTCCTCTTTCGCAGTCGAATTACGGTATGCATGAAACGTCTAGTTCAGTACACTCTCTTGACGAGATGGTGCAGACATGACATAGCATGCCACCGCCTCCCCTCGGCTGCCTTTATACTCGAAAATCTTCTTGAAGAGGTCTTGAAAAACTTAAATTTCGAGATATGCGAAGTTCAAAAAGGCCCAAATGCTTTTAATAAATTCCCATATGTTTCGATGCGCAAAGCACTCCTGTAAAATGCCCTCCAAGGCTTTAACCACTACGGTGCGGGTGCATTTGAGTTTTGTTTCTAATATGTAACTGTGGTGCCTATATGGTGCATTCAGCCCCTAATAAAGGTACTTGGCGCCTATGCTTGGGTTATCACGCCAAATTTTTTAATTTTCTTTAATGATGATTCTTCAGGTTACTGCTCAACACAAACAAGACGTAAGCATCCACTTCCAAACGATTTCCGATGCAAAGGGAAAATACCGGTGATTTTTACATGTTCAAGATTTACCTTCGTGAGCAAATCATTTAAAGACACATGGTACGCTCAAACACATTGAGGGTGTATGAGACTAACAGCCCCCAGCTGTCGATGTGTCGTGGTTTCCCCGCCCGAAACTGCACGGGGTCCTAGTACGGGACCGTGGGAAAGGCTTATTCCTTGCTACGCCGCCCGAAATGCAACTTGCGCGCGGCGAAATGCAACCTGCGCGCGGTGCATTTTGGGCGGTGTAGCAAGGAATAAGCCTTTCCCACGGTCCCGTACTAGGAACCCCGTGCAGTTTCGGGCGGGGAAACCACGACACATCGACAGCTGGGGGCTGTTAGTCTCATACACCCTCAATGTGTTTGAGCGTACCATGTGTCTTTAATGCGACATGAGTAGTGACTCTGGTATCGTTCAACAGCCCCATTTCGAGTACCTTTAATCCTCATGTGATAAAACTTGGTGCCGAGGCAGTGAGGACAACCTTTTGATCGGCTGACATTGGTTACCTGAGCTGTATGCTTGCAAGTAGTACGGTATACCATGAGCGCGATCCGGGACCGGAAACTGGGACCCACCTTGGTCAATCAAAGCTCGAAAAGCTTTCAAGAGGAAACCTGCACTTTATCACACAGTTCAGCGTAGTTCGGCGACGGGTGGAGGGGCACTATGTAGTACGTTGCTTCTAGTTCCGGTGTACAAGTCTCACTCTGGCGAAACCTGTGAACTTCCGTGAATCTGGAGCAAGGTCGTCAAGCCATCATAGTAAAAACCTGTCAACTCGAGAGGAGGCTGTCTGTATAGGTTGACACGTCGATGGGAAGTAGCAAAAAAGCCAAATGCCGCTGAACTGCGCCCACCATTCTTCCTATATTCTTCTCATTCAGAGCTATTTTAGAGTTGGTCCCGTTCGTCGCGCCGAAGACATGAAAATTACCGCTGAACTTGACGGTTATGCGTTCGCCGAGAAACCCGGTCATGTTGGTCAAATAATGAGCACCAAACTTAGCAAGTTGACAGTTGTCGTGGTAAGTTGGTGAATGGCGCGTCTTATCAAGTAGAAAAAGTAGTAAGAGAAGAAGAGATTCTATTTTTCAGTCGGATAAAGAGACATCTGAACGCTTAGATGACGTGCTCTTGTCGATTGTCGGTGGAAAGGATTATCGGAGTAACAGTATGATCGATAAGTCAGGAGAAATCAATTTTGTGGGATTGGTAAGAATTTTCTGAATTTTTTGGTCATTCATGGGCGCAGAGGGTGAACAAGTGAAGCCGCGGCGCATCGTCTTTTGTAGAAATCGCAACAGGGATCGTATCCGGTCTGAGGGGAAGGTATCGAGAGATGTTTCCAACTGATAATTTTTCTCTGATGCAGATGTTATATGTCCCCTCCCTTCTCTTAAATCTTGTTCGTCGTAGCGGCATTATTGCAACTTTCAGTAGTTCATCGGATGTATCTACTCATTACCCCGCCGGCAAAAATATTGGGAAAGTTGTAAGCTAGTAGGTGGATAGTGAAGGAGGTCGTACCAAAGGAGAATTTCGATGTAGTTTGTATCCTGCACAATTTTTCTTACAGTGCCTTGATGCGCGATGAAGGGCGTTGCTTGCAATGCGAATAATCATGAATCGAACCCCGTCCACGCTAGCCAAACCCTTCTTCATTCGTTGCCATCGTATTGCTGCCAGGCTTGTCCGGGAGGATAACAACACTGATCGATACACAGGTTGGCAACGCCAGTAATTGTCCAGGCTAAATGTCATCTGAGACATCAATACAATTCTCTGTGAATGAGGAATGGAAGGCGAATTTCGAAATCGACTACAACTTCTCTATCCTTTCATAACGCAAAATTTTACTCGCCCCCTGGTTGGGTCCGTATAATTTTTGGGAGTCCGATTTGTTTAGACTCGCTCCTACTCAATAAAACCTAATTTTTGCAACTGCTGAGTATTTAGGCCCCTGGTGATTACTTCCTTCGAGCAATCCTGCAGGAGTATAAGTTTGAACCATCAACGACGACGATCACAGTGAAGGAGGGTCAGCACGAACATGTTGAGCTTCGTGGAAAAAGAGTGGCATTCAGGTAAATTCACAGAGATATGGCTTTTGTAAGCATGTCATTTGGGCCGTAATTTCAGTTGCACTGGGTTTATGTACAGTTCTTATTTACTGTTTTAGCTAATATTCTCATTTTTCATATCCAACAATTTTGGGGTATTGATCGATAGTCCGTGTTCCGCGCAAGGTTTCGGTAGTACTGCTCTCTTGGAAACCTTTTGGGAGATGTTGGTTTCAATGGATCCCTGAAAGTGACATACGTCGAAAAGGTGCTATAAGTATTTGGCGATGTTGAATTGATTACAGGAACCCCGCGTAGATACGGCGCGCGGAGACGCAGTGTGATAATGTCACCCGCTGACTCTGCGACGTGAGGATACACAAGGAGATGTTTCTCGCGACTTGAACGCCAAGAAAGCTCATGAACTTTGAGATCCTTGGCTGTCTGAGGGCAGATGAAATGTAATCGGTTCGTTCTTGGTTCTTTCTAGAGTAGTGTGGGATGGAGTGAAACAGAGCTTGTGTATGGCTAGTTGAGTGTGCGTATCGAGTGAGAGTACCAGGTAGTGCAGACACGGTACAACATTGTGTTGGGGAACCTCATCAAGCGGTGGTACCGGGTCAGGAAGGGAGAGGGTGGTATTTGGTCGCCGTCCTCTGTAGTTGGTGGCAGGGTAGAATTACTCTATAACTACAGTTTCCGTGACGTTTGTCACGGCCGATTGAATGCGGTGGGCCATAATGCCGTTTGGACTCCAGCAATTACGCAACGAGCTCATTCTTCACTTCCTTAGCGCGTTACCAAGAATCCGCGCTAAAAACTTGTATCAGGGATTAGATAACATCCTGATTACGAAATGTGACTATTCCACTCTTGCCTAGGCGCTATGCATTCACACTACGTTTTCTGCGTCCCGCTAAGCTCGCCCAAGAGGTAATCGCAGTGTCCCCAAAAACCCCCCGATAGAGTCAGCGCCAGCGCCAAGAATGAGTGTCATAATTGTAATCACGATGGTAAATAACCCTTGTGTACATGTTTTCAGCGGGTTTGGTGACTTAGGCAATTTAAAAATGAGCTCGGTGCCGAAATTGCTGGAGTCCAAACGGCATTAGCCGACGGTGAAGAAGTTCTTGAAAAAAGCTAAGGAAGAGCGGTAGTAAGTTGGGAAATCATATGGGTGTTAGGACGGGAAAGGGGGAGGGGTCGCACATTTCACACATCGCGATGCTGTATGTTTGTCACCGGACACGCTCCAAGGGCATGGTCGCTATTTCTTTTCTTTTCTTTCAACTTAGCTAACGCTTATTTCGAAATAGCGAAGTCTAAAGACGTAGCTATTGAAGGGCATCTTTGCCGTGAATTCTGACTACAATTCTCTCCCTTTACATGATACTTAGCCCTCTAAATTTTTCCTTATTGGCAGTCAGGTAATCTCTTTGCTCGTTATGCTGTAAGGACTCCTTACAGCTTAACGATTGGTTAGTTTCCTTCATTGATCGTTAAAGGGCTGAAAAGTGTCCACGTCACAAGCACACCCTTTCTTCGTTTCACCCCTGAAGGGCTAACACCTAGGCATTTCGAGGTGTTTTCTTCTGTTTTTCTTCGCTATTGTGTGACTTACCGGCTGCTATTCTGCTATTGGTCCCCACTATCCACCAATTATGATCGAGGGGCGTACTGTTCAATTCAACTTTGCAATTATTAAGTGTGTTTGGACGTGTACGTGAGATGTCCGGATCGTCTGTGGTTGGAGCAGTGGTGGAAGCGCTGTCTGAACAATGCGATCAGCATCAATCAGAAGCTGTCACCGGAAAAGATGGTTCCTTATCGTATCCGTGCATTGAAACCTGGCTGTCAATATCGAGTGTCGATTAAAGGTTGGTGAAGTTCGCCAATTTTCAAATTTGAGAAAATTATATGTGAGTTGGAAGACGTTCCTGGGACGCTGCTCTCT